GGGGTGGAAAGACAAAGGGGATTACACTAATATACATATATAGGTTTGACAGGATATTTCTACCCATGTATTTATATGTGATGCAAATATATCCATGAATATAGCAGCATATACAGGAGGCAAAGTTAAGAAAACTTTTTTGCCGTAACCAAACACCTTGATGTAATGAGTCACTGGGGCTGGGTGCTCAGGACCATAGTCTCAGGGAACACTAAGGTCAACTGACATAACACAATCCACAAAAAGAAAAAAAATGTTCTACATCCTGCCTTGGTGAGTAGCCAGCTAAGGAACAACTATTGGCTTTCAGCTCTCTAGAGCAAATAAGAGAGAAGAAAAAGATTTCACCCTCTACAGACAAAGCTTCTGGACTAGCAGACAGAGAAAAAGTAAAGGGCCCAGATTAATTTTTACAGAGCAGGCAAAAAGGGTGGGTTTGGAGCTGTCATGCAATAAATCAGTAACTAACCACTCAAAGACACAATCCAGCTTGCAACCTGGATTCAGAAGAGGATGTGGAACGAGTGATATCATAGCTGATGTCAGATGGATCTTGGCTCAATGCAGAGAAAACCAGAAAGATGTTGACTTGTGTTTCATTGACTATGCAAAAGCATTTGATTGTGTGGATCATAACAAATTATTAACAACATTGAGAAGAAGGGGAATTCCAAAAAACTCAATTGTACTCACAAGGAACCTATACGTAGACCAGGAGGCTGTTGTTTGAACAGAACAAGGGGACACTGCATTGTTTAAAATCAAGAAGGGAGTGCAGCAGGGTTGTATCCTTTCACCATACTTACTCAATCTACATGCTGAGCAAATAATCTTGAGAAGCTGGACTATATGAAGAAGAACGTGGCATCAAGATTGGGGGAAGAATCGTTAACAACCTGTGCTAGCTGATGACACAGCTTTGCTTGCTTAAAGTGAGGATGACTTGAAGTACTTACTGATGAAGATTGAAGAGTGTAGTCTGCAGTATGGATTACATATCAATATAAAGAAAACAGAAATCCTCACAACTAGACGTATAAGCAGCATCATGATAAATAAATAAAAGATTGAGGTTGTCAGAGACTTCTCATTGCATGGTTCTACAGTTGATGCCAATGGAAGCAGCAGTCAGGACATCAGACGACATATAGCACTGGGCAAGTTGGCTACAAAAGATCTCTTTCAAGTGCTGAGGAGCAAAGATGTCTCCTTGAGGACCAAGGTGTGCCTGACACAAGCCATGATATTTTCAATTGCCTCATACACATGTGAGAGCTGGACAATGAATAAAGAACACTGAAGAAGAATTGGTGCTTCTGAGTTGTGGTTCTGGGAAAGAATGCAGAAAGTACTGATGACTGCTCAAAGAACTAACAAATATGTCCTGGAGGGAAGTGCAGCTGGAATGCTCCTTGGAAGCAAGAATGGCCAGACTTTGCCTCACTTTGGTCATGTTGTCAGAAGGGACCATTCCCTGTAGAAGGATATCATGCTTGGTAAGGTGGAGGGTTGACGAAAGAGGTGAAGGCCCTCAATGTGATGGGTTGACACAGTGGCTGCGGTAATGGGCTCAAGTATAGCAGGGAGTGCAGAGCTGGCACGGGACTGGGTGGTGTTTCATTCTGCTGTGCATAGGGTCGCCATGAGTCAAAGACAACTTGATGGCACCTAACAAAAAACAACAAAGGAAACAATTAGTTCAAAGGACTAATTGACCATGTGAACCCAAGCCTCCATGACACTAAGACCAGAATAACTCAATGGTGCCTGTCTACCACTGCTGACAGCTCTGAAAGGGATCACAGTAGGAGGGCTCAGAGTGGGAGAAAGAAATGAACAAAACTCAAAATCATTTAAAAAAAAAGGCCAGGCTGACAGGTCTGATGAAGACTGGTGGAGCATCCATGACTACGGTCCTTAGACACCCTTCAGCTAAGAACTGAACTGAATACTCATGGTTCAGATTTCAGCCAAATGATAAACAGGTAAAGGTGAACACCAGGAAGATATGCACTCATTAGAACAATCAACCATATGTGATCAGGAGGACCACATTTGCCCAGGGCTAAAGATTACAGTCTGCAGTATGGATTACACCTCAACATAAAAATCCAATAAGCAGCATTGTGATAAATGGAGAAAAGACGGAAGTTGTCAAAGACTTCATTTTACTTGGGTCCACAATCAACACCATGGAAGCAGCAGTCAAGAAATCAGATGTATTGCACTGGGCAAATCTGCTGCAAAAGACAAAGTACTGAAGAGCACAGATGTCTCCTTGAAGACTAAGGTGTGCCTAACACAAACCATGGTATTTTCAGTCACTTCATATGGATGTGAAAGCTGTACAATGAATAAAGAATACTGAAGAGTTGATGCTTTTGAGTTGTGGTGGTGGCAAAGAATACTGAAAGTACCATGGACTGCCAGAAGAACTAACAGATCTATCCTCAAAGAAGTGCAGCCAGAATGCTCTTTGGAAGTGAGAATGACCAGGCTTTGTCTCACCTACTTTGGTCATGTTGTCAGAAGGAACCATTCCCTGGAGAAAGAGCTTATGCTTAGTAAAATGGAGGGTCAATGAAAAAGGGGAAGGCTCTCAACGAGATGGCTGACACAGTGGCCGCAATGATGGGCTCAGATATAGCAAGGATTGTGAGGCTGGCATAGGACCAGGCAATGCTTTGTTCTGTTGTACATAGGATTGCTATGAGTTGGAACTAACTCGACAGCACCTAACAAGAACAACAAAGCTATGAAGGCAGGAAGAAGTAAGAGAGGACAATGGGAATTGGAAACAAGTGGGAAGAGAGGTGTTACACTATGGAGATTGCAATAAATTTTGCAAAACAAAATGTGTATTGTTGAAAGGAAAACAAATTTGCTCTGTAAACTTTCACCCAAATCACAATATAAATAAATGTACTTATTTTGAGGGCCATTCAATACTACACACTTTGAATGTAACCAATGGTTAAAAATGTTGAATTTGTAAGTTGTAATAAAATAGTATATTCACTTGCATTGAACCAAGTCAGTCATGGAAAGCTATAGTGATGATTTCATCCACTTAATTTAAACTTTTCATTAGGTTGTTCAGAATTCTTGTTTGATACTGGAGAACCCATCAGAAACAGGCACCCTGTACCATATCCTGCAACACTCACAATCACCCTCTTAACTCTGGGCACACTGATACCTGTTGGTTGCTTGAAGACTTGTTTTGTTCTTGCTTGCCATCAAGTCGATCCTGAATCAAAGCAACCCAGTGTGTGCAGAGTAGTACTGCCCCATACGGTTTCTTGTCTGTAGTGTTTTTTTCTTTCTAATAATAATGTGTTTTTGGTGAAGGTCCCCATTCAGCAATTTCTATACAAGTTGTTCACAATGCATGAACATTCTCATTTCCATTTGGTGGTTCTGTTTCCATGGATCTAGTTTCCTACAGTCTTACATTTTCATCTTTATTTTAAAGTAATTGATAACTGGTCTTAATGAAAAACTACAAGTCTGTTTAAAATTTAAAAAAAAAAATGGTACTGCATAAAAGCATTATGCAAAAAGGTGGAATGAAAAGGTTTCTGACAAAGTCTCCAAGGACCTGCACAGTTACAGAGTTGAATAAAGGGAAGAAAACACAAGGAACATGGTACAGCTGGAGTATTTTTGATTGGTTAACATTTACAAAGTCTCAGGAGCCAACACTTGGTTGACCACCTCTGCTAGGGTTCCTTCCTTTTTCAGTATGGCTCTAAGTGACAGCATTTGGCTGACAACTAAAGTCACGTTTTCTGGTATTGACATTGGCAGCCTGTGCTATATGGAGTTACTTTTGCATTCTAGTGGTGAGTGCTGTTGAAATATAAACTCAAAGAGGTTTTTTTTTTTAAGCTTTTATTGTGAACACATAACACACCAAGACATTCATCAGCATAACAACTTCCACATTTACAGCTCAGGGACACTGATGACATTTTTCATGTTGTGCCACCGTTATTGCTATCCTTTTCCAAAATATTCCACCACTATTAGCATAAACTCAATGCCCTGCAACCAAAAGTAAAAGTTTTTTGAAGGAACAGGATGGTTTCAAGTTAAACTGGCAAGTGCTGTAATGCTGAAGGAGAGAAAAAGTTATGATAAAGAAAAGTTGTAATTTTCTCTTTATTTAACATCAGCTATTTTAATAATAACTTGGGTTAGACAAAGATTTGGAAGATTACAAGTACAGTTGAGGGGGTTATTTTCTTAGAATCATCTTAGTCCATAAAGTCGCATGTTTATTACACCCACACCAGTCAAATAATCGCCTCTTAATATCGACTATGTGCTCACCTACAAGTAGAGTGGACAAAACCACATTTTTCTGTAGGAACTGCTTGTATCTAGGTTAAAGATACAGTGCAAAAATATTCACAGAAATGACACTATATTGCATGACAGAAAAGCACAAAATGGAGTCACTTTAGGAGAAGGAGGGATAAGACCTAGACCCTAGCCAGAAATTTCAGTTCTATCAAGAGCCTTAATCTTGGAATGCTCTCTCTGTTTTCTATAGGTGATTCTTAAAAAGAGAGTAGTACTTATGGGTGATTTTTTTTTTTTTAAAGCCAATTTCTTATTTAGCAACAAGGGGACCTTGGGCTAATTTCACTTCAAGGTTTGAAGAATAACTCAGGGCCATCATCTCACGGACTCTTCCACTCTCAACCACTCCAATAAGCTTTGTTATCATTTATTTTTTATTTTAGGAATTTGGGGTTCTCCACATTCTTGGCTGTAATCTAATGTGAGCAGATCATCTGGTCTTTTCTCCCTTGGGATCACTGGATGGATGCAAAATACCAAAGTTTTGGTTAGCAGCCAAGTGCTTAACCATTCACTGCTCCACCAGGGCTGCTCCTCCCAACAGTGTGCCTGGCCCGTCACAGGCACTCACATAGTATAGTTATCAGTATGTTTCATGCAGGGAATAGAAAGCATATAGCTACATATGCAGATTACTCAAAAAATTGTGGTTTTTTGAACAGGCAAAAAAAAAAAAAAAGTCTAGAGACATGGGTGTCACTAATGATGAGCACAAAAGGGCTGAATGTTGAAAAACATGATGCCACAAACACAGACATGTCCACCAGCCACTGGTATGGAGTCAAAATTAGAGTCAAAGAGTCAAAATGGAAGACAGTAAGTAATGGAAGACAGTAAAAAGAGACAAACATGCCCACCAGGATAAGGATGTTGTGTGTGGCTCTGTCCTCATGGGAAGGTCTGGGCAAGCATCTGTTGCTGTGAATGTGTTGGACTCGCTGCTTGTGTCTGTGCAGGACAAAGACCATGGAGCCACTGGTCCAGACCTTGAAGCCCAAATGTATCACATCAATGGAGGAGAACATGGTGGCATGAAGATTATTTATCAGTTTATCCAGGATAGGTAGAGAACAGTAGCTAAAATTTCTTATACCTGTGTTTGTGCTATTTTGTGGCCCATTCACTGTCAAAGGAAGTAAGACATTTAACAAGACATGCAGAATCCAGCAGAGGAAACAGCAGAAGCCAATGCACTTTGTTGACCTCATTCTGAGCATCATCCACTTAGAGAAGTTGGGACAAAGCTTAATGGCCTGGAAACCACTTAGGTGGCATGTAGTGCGGAGGGAAACCCCTCTGCCCACTCTGTGCAAATAGAAGACTAGTTTGCATCCCCCATCACAGAGGAAAAACTTTAGTCCAAAAGCTGCCATAGTCTGAGGAATCCCTTTAGAAAAAAGTACCAGGGAGTTGGCCAGGACCAGTTGGCTGAGAATCGTCTCAAGGTCTCAACACATGTCCAGTAATCAAATTGAAGTTATAAAGACCAAGAAGAAATGAGTTTCCCAGGATCCCAGCTGCCATCTGAGTGAGGAAGAGAATCCCCTTTTGCACATTGTCAGAAACCATCACATCAATATCTGCCGGATGCTGATTTTAATCAAATCTAGAGGAATGAGTAGAGGGACAGAAAACGGTTACCATGGTTGCAGGTCATTTCCATGGTTTAAGCCCTGGTGGCGCAACAGTTAAATGCTCTTCTAACCAAAAGTTTGGCAGTTGTCACCCCACAGTTATGTGGTTGTTAGGAGCTGTCGAGTTGTCTCCGACTCAGTGAACCTATGCACAGCAGAATGAAACACTGCCCAGTCCCGTGCCAGCTCCGTGATCCCTCTATACTTGAGCCCATCACTGCAGCCACTGTGTCAATCCATCTCATTGAAGGCCTTCCCCTCTTTCATCAACTCTCCACCTTACCAAGCGTGACATCCTTCTCCAGGGAATGGTCCCTTCTGGTAACATGACCAAAATAGGTTAGGCGAAGTCTGACCATTCTCACTTTGAAGGAGCAGTCTGGCTGCACTTCTTCCAGGACAGATTTTTTCGATCTTTTAGCAGTCCATGGTACTTTCTGCATTTTTGCCAGCACCACAACTCAAAAGCATCAGTTCTTCAGTCTTCCTTATTCATTGTCCAGCTCTCACGTGCATATGAGGTGATTGAAAATATCATGGCTTGTGTCAGGCACACCTGAGTCCTCACGGAGACATCTTTGCTTCTCAGCACTAGAAAGGGGTGCTTTGCAGCTGACTTGTCCAGTGCTGTATGTCATCTGATGTCCTGACTACTGCTTCCATTTGCATTGATTGTAGAACCAAGCAATGAGAAATCTTTGACAACTTCAATCTTTTCTCCATTTATCACGATGCTGCTTATAGGTCCAGTTGTAAGGACTTTTGTTTTCTTTATATTGAGATGTAATCCATACAGCAGACTAGTCTTCAATCTTCATCAGTAAGTGCTTCAAGTCATTCTCAATTTCAGCAAAGTTATGTCTTCAGTGTATCACAGGTTGTTAATGATTCTTCCTCCAAACTTGATGCCACGTTCTTCATATAGTCAAGATTCTCTGATTATTTCCTCAGCATATAGATTGAATAAGTATGGTGAAAGGATACAACCCTGACACACTCCTTTCTTGACTCTAAGCTATGCAGTGTCCACTTGTCTCGTTTGAACGACAGCCTCCTGGTCTATATACAGGTTCCACATGAGTACAATTAAGTGTTCTGGAATTCCCATTCCTCTCAATGTTGTCAATAATTTGTTATGATCCACAGAATCAAATGTTTTTGCACAGTCAGTGAAACAAGTAAACATCTTCCTAGTATTCTTTCTTTGAGCCAAGATCCATCTTACATCAGCAATGATATCCCTTTGTCCATATTCCTTCTGAATCCAGCTTGTACCTCTGGAAGTACTCTGTCAATATAGTGCTGTAACTGTTTTTGAATTATCTTCAGTAAGATTTTACTTGTGTGTGATATTAATGATATTGTTTGATAATTTCCACATTCTGTGGGATCACCTTTCTTGAAATGGGTACAAATATGGATCTCTTCCAGTCATTTGGCAAGGTAGCTGTCTTCCAAATCTCTTGGCATACTCAAGTGAGTGCCTCCAGTGGGGCATCCGTTTGTTGAATCATCTCAATGGGTATTCTGTTAATTCCTGGAGCCTTGTTCTTGATTAATTCGTTTAGTGCACCTTTGACTTTTTCCTTCAATACCATTGGTTCTTGATCATATGTCGCCTCCTGAAATGGATGAACATTGACCAGTTCCTTTTGGTAGAGTGACTGTTTATGCCTTCCATCTTCTTTTGATGCATCCTGCGTAATTTAATATTTTGCCCGTAGAGTCTTTCAATATTGCAACTCAAGGCTTAAGTTTTTCCCTCAGTTCTTTCAGTTTGAGAACTGTTGAGCACTTTCCTCCCTTTTGGTTTTCTAACTCTAGGTCTTTGTACATTTCATTATAGTAATTGGATTTGTCTGCTCAAGTCACTCTTTGACATCTTCTGTTCACCTCTTTTATCTTGTCATTTCTTCCATTTGATTTAGCCACCCTCTGCTCAAGGACAACTTTCAGAGTCTCTTCTCACATCCATTTTGGTCTTTCCTTCTTTTCTCGTCTTTTTAATGACTTCTTGGTTTCTTCATGGATGATGTTCTTGATGTCATCCTACAATTCTTCAGGTGTTCAGTCATTGGTATTCAGTGCATCAAGTCTGTTCTTTAGATGGTCTCTAAATTCAGGTGGGATATATTCAAGGTCTTATTTTGGCTCTTGTGGACTTGTTTTAATTGTCTTCAACTTCAAGTTGAACTTACATATGAGCAGTTGATTGTCTGTTCCACAATCAGCTCCTGGCCTAGTATTGGCTGAAGATATTGAGCTTTTCCATTGCCTCTTCCACCAAACCAAAAACCAAACTCAGTGACATCAAGTCATATCTGACTCATAGTGACCCCTCTTTGGGTTTCCAAGGTGGTGTCTCTATAGAAGTATATTGCCCAACTTTCTTTCTGAGGAGTGGCTTGTGGGTTTGAACCAGCAGCCTTCTGGTTAGCAGTCAAATGCCTTAGGCAGTACGCCACCAGATGTAGTTAATTTGATTCCTGTGTACTTCATCTGGTGAAGTCCATGTTTATAGTTTCCATTTGTGTTGTTGAAAAAAGGTATTTGCAATGAATAAGTCATTGGTCTTGCAAAATTGTGTCATGTAGTGTCCACCTTTATTTCTTTCACCAAGGCCAAATTTTCCAACTACCAGTGATTCTTCTTTGTTTCCAACTTTTGCATTCCACTCACCAGTAATAATTAACATATATTAATTGCACGTTTCGTCAGTTTCAGACTGCAGAAGTTGATAAAAATCTTAAATTTCCTCCTCTTTGGCTTTGGTGGTCGTTGCATAAATTTGAATAATAGTATTAACTGGTTCTCCTTGTAGGCATGTGGGTATTATCCTATCAGTGACAGTGCTGTAGTTCAGGAAAAATCTTGAAACATCCTTTTTGATGATGAATGCCACACCATTCTTCATTTTCATTCCTGGTATAGTAGATCATATGGTTGTCTGATTGAAAATGGCCCAAACCATTCCATTTCAGCTCAGTAATGCCTAGGATATCAATCTTTATGCATTCCATTTCATTGTTGACAACTTCCAATTTTCCTAGATTCATACTTCGTACATTCCATGTTCCAATTATTAATGGATGTTTACAGCTGTTGCTCCTCAATTTGAGTCATGCCACGTTGCAAATGGAGGTCTCAAAAGCTTTAGTTTATCCATACCAGTAAGGTTGATTCTACTTGGATGACACACCTCTTTCCCAGTTGTATTTTGGGAGCCTTCCGACCTAAGGGGCTTGTCCTCCTGCACTATATCGGATGTTGTTTCTGGGCTGTTCACACAGTTGTGCAGTAATGTATCAGACAGTATTTCTCTGCTATTCATAAGGTTTTCCCTGGCCAATTTTTTGAGAAGTGGATGGCCTCTTCCTTCTTCCTAGTCTGTCTCAGTCTGTAGGCTGGGTTGAACCTGTGCACCATGTGAAACCCTGCTGGTGTTTGAAATAGTGGTGGTACAGCCCGAAGCCTCACAGCAACATGCAAGCCACCACAGAATGACAAACTGGCAAAAAAAGTATTCTCCCTTAGCGGTTCAAAACCTCTCCACCTTCCCATTGCCTCAATCCCTGCCACTGCTGCTTTCTCTGTCTTATGCCCCTGGCTTGCCTTTCCTTTCAGTAAAGACTATACCCAATAAGAAACTATGAGGGCAATTCTGCTGTTTCATACTGGGTCACTATGAGTAAAAAAACGACTGGCTGGCACCCAACAACAAGCTGACACAATTTTTATACTTTAAATAGACACTAAGAATTTGTGCTAATATATCCAAATGTTATGTGTTGCTATTGATTTTAGGTGCCATTAAGGCAATCTGTGACTTATTGACAACTCCATGAAACAGAGTAGAACTGCCCCCATAGGGTTTTCTAGGCTGTAATCTTTAAGGCCACCACTTGTCTGTCAGTTTGTCATACTGGCTTGTGTGTTACTGTGATGCTGGAAGTTATGCCACAGGTATTTTAAATTCCAGCAGGTTCACCCATGGTGGACAAGCTTTTGTGAAGCTTCCAGACTAAGGCAGACTAGGAGAGAGTATCTGATGATCCATTTCTGGAAATTTGTCCAGTAAAAGCATGGATAACAGCAGAATATTGTCTGATGTAGTGCTGGAAGGAGAGTGCCTCAAACTGGAAGGCACTCAAAATACTACTGGGCAAAAACTGCCTTCTCAAAGTAGAATCAACTTTAGTGATGTGGATGGAGTAAATCTTTCAGGATCTTCATTTGTTGATGTGGCACATCTTAAAATGAGAAGAAACAGCTGCAAGCATCCACTAATAATCAGAATAGGGAATCAGAATGAAGTATGTATGTAGGAAAATTGGATATCAGAAATGAAATGGAAAGTGTAAAATCAATGTCCTAGACAGTAGTGATCTCAAGTGGACTGGCATTGGCCATTTAGAATGAGACTATGCCAGGAATCACCAATTGAAGAGGAATGGTGTCACATTCATTGTCAAGAAGAACATTTGTAGATCTATCGTGAAGTACAGTGCTGTCAATGGTAGGGTAATATCCATACTCCTACAAGGAAAACCAGTTAATATGACTGTTACTCAAATTTAAGCATGTACTACTAATACCAGAGAGTTCTGGTAGCGTAGTGCCTAAGGCACTTGACTGCTAACCAGAAGGCTGGTGGTTCAAACTCTCCAGTCACTCCCTGGGAGGAAGGTTGGGCAATCTACTTCCATAGTAATACTGCCTCAGAAACCCAAGGAGGGGTTGCTATGGGTTGGATCTGACTCCACGGCAATGGCTGCCTTTGCCTTTGTTTTACTATTGCCAAGTTTGAAGAAATTAAAGATTGTTCCCAGCGTCTGCTACCTGAAATTGATCAAACATGCAATCAAGATGTATTGAGAATTTCTGGTAACCAGAATTCAAAAGTTGGAAACAAAAAACAAGGATAGTTAGCTGGAA